AGAAAAAGTGTTACGAATCGAGGTAAGTGAAATAAGGTTCAAGAATAGAAACAACTCGCATAAATGAAAGAAAATGGGGAATGTATTTTAGAGAGATAACCCCGTGGCAGACGGTATGCCTTTACCGTCACTGACGAATGGTTCGATTCTACTGATTCGAATTCTATAAACTGAAGGTGCACCGCGTATAGTTGTTTCAACCTTGTTGCTTCTCATCAGCGGTGCACAACCACTGACCCCGGAGGCAGAACAGAATCGTGCTAGCCCGTCAACCACAAGATAATCGATCCGAAGGAAAAACTCAGCTGGGTGGAAGGATAAACGTAGTGAACTATTCCTAAAAGCACTGAAACAAGTGAAGACTACTTTGTTGCATTGTCTGTCCAGATTCCCTCGGGGTGACGAACTGTTTTAAATCTATTGCAATCTTCGTTGCAAGCCTAAATATGTTTATTTTTCTGTTAGCTCTGGGGCTTGATCGGATTCAGTATTCGGCGGACACGTGATGTCTAAAGACTAGTGAACCAATTACATTATTTGTCTGCTTTTACGCCGCTTTCATTATTTTCCTCGAACAGTCCTTTTGTAAACATTTGCACATCATAACGGACATGAACAGTAAGGACAGGAAAAAAGGTTTTATGTCGAAACAAAACTGCAAAGTCATATCGTCACCTGAATCATCAACACAGCAACCCTCAAAACCATGAATCGATTGGGAAAAACGGAATTGTTTTCCTTGCCGGATAAAAATATGATGTTTGAAATTATCGTTCTATCCATCAGGAATTCCACACCGGGTCGCAGTGCATGGCAAGTCTCTCACAGATTGTTTGATCCATTTATTCAATGATTAAATGAGTGCCATAGCGAGCACAGCCACTCCAAACGTGATAGTAGGCAAGCCAGCGAAGTTAAACACAGGTGTTTACCATCCCTAATTGTGCAAATATTTACCTTCAGATCCGATGCAGTTTCTCCCATCCATAGGACCGCCACACAACATGGGATGAGAAATCAGCTGGAGTTAGGATGATCGAATGCTAACTACTGAGGCAGTGTTCAACCTACTGATGCTGTGCATTGTATTATCATTCATCGCGGTTGGTAGACGGTTGCAAAAGGTCTACGCCAAGAACTTCGCAAATATGACGATATTAAAACAACATTCATATTTAAGTGGGAACGGCAAACATGACATGTTCGCATAAAATGCCGAATGAGGAAAAAAACGGGACGCCAGAATCATATTTTTGTTTAATTTTGGAAATACCTAGGCGATTCAATGCAACAAGTGGCGACTCAAAGTAATCTAAAGTCGTTAATGATCGCGCCGTCTGTAGATGAGTAGCACAAGCTCCCTTCCGGTATGACTAAAATCGGAATACTGGGTGTGTTTTGGGGGGTATAAAAGGGGAGGCTTGCAGCTCAAAAAGCGTAAAAAAGAAAGAACATCCGGGGGAGAGCTATGGGTGATTAATCGCATACCGATGCAGGCTGCAAGGCAAATGCGCGCCTCCAGAAGCACAATGCAACTGGGGAATCGAGCTCCGGTTGGCCACTAAAGACGACGGAACACGATCGGAATTTCGAGCATCCGGAAGCAGTGGACGTTAATCAATATCGACCGAACGAATGCAGTTGAATTACGGGTGTCTGAACACAAAAGCTCATGTCTGTGTGTGTTTGTGCGTGTGTATGTTTACATTCGTGAAAAGCCAAACATAGAAAAACACGGGGTTCGCGGAAAAACGGACTGAATGTATTCGTGCTTGGCAGTACAAATTTTGCCCCAGCAAACGAGTTAAAAGAAGTCAGGTTGGTAAATTCGACATTAGTTCCACTTACACATGATTTGATTTGCTAATGACTGGGACGGTTCAGTGGGCAACAACAGTGTGCGACCGTGTACGTATGCAAACAAGCTAACTGCTAGTTCCTCTTAACCAGACACTACATTCGTGCTTTTTCTTTCCTACTAAAGAGAAAGATTTGAACGTCTTGATCTGTAGTTGGTCTTGTTAACATTATGATGTATTTCAGGACACACGTATCAAACGTTACAACCGAGGCAGACAAGCACACGACAAGCCAGCATCTATACAACTGACTCCTTGGCCGGGACATGCCGGGTAAACGGAGAGTGTTTCAAGCGCAACTTATTTTTGGACAGAACGTTGTGCACTCAAAACGGTCACTACACACCACTATTGAAACATGCGACAAATACAAAACTGCCGCCGATCCGACATTTGCAAGCATCCCAACCCGATCTAACCGAAAACACACCGAACGAACAGCCTCGAGAAGGACAAACCGTCCCAACTAAAGGTACGCTTGTTCATTGCGATCGTGCATTGAGTCTCAGCGATCTGACACCACAAGCTTTGCAATTGCTTCCATCCCCCACCGAGGAACGTTTGCTCAAGGAACAAAAAGCGCGAGCACCATTGAGCACAGACTACATCGAGCCGCAAACGAATGAGCAGTTCTCCGCAAGACGTAGTCACAAACCCAGCAATGTATGCTGCAATCGAACAATCAAATCACTCGCGGTCGGGTTAGATCAAGCTGGTGCCCTAAGCGGTTCATATAATAGTGCCAGTTTTGTTTGAACTCGAGTCTCTGGGACAAGAGAAACTCTGTTAGTTATTTTTTTTCTCAGCACACTTCTGATCCGATCGTTCCGACCGAAAACGGTGTTCTGGCTCGTATTCATTCCATTTGAACGCATCCTCTTCACAAAGCGGACATGTGAATGGTTGGAAATCTTTCTTCCCTCTTATATTAATTTTCGTTGAACTCGACGAGAGACTCGGACACCCCAAAAGACACACGCACACACACACATACCCATTGTATATAAACTACGGTTAGGATCATAGAAACTGATTCTATTGTGTTGCGCGTTCGGAACAATGCGTGGATCAGATATTTCTGTGCAATAACACATCTGCTCCAAACAAGGAAAACCACGCGCATTCCGCTCTACACTTCTGTCAGCACTAGCATGAGACTCCTCTCGCCCCGTCCGACCTGACTAATTCGCGTAAAACGAACCTTGAAAGTTCTTAGTGATCCTCGAAAAAAGTTGTGAAGAAATTTCATATTGTAACGTGAGTGCATTTCTGAATTTTATCCAAAGTTCATTGTGATACCAGTTTGTTTCTTCTTCCCTTTTTTTTCACTCTGGTCTATCAACAACCATCAGCTATGGGTTTCGCAGCACGCAGAGAGAGAAACAAAATAAAGAGAGAGGAAAATAAGGAACTGTTAACGTGCATGTGCAACTGTATGAGCGACCAAACAAAAAATGGCAAGAAATACATGAGACAATAAATTGTACAAAATCATGATTTTATTCATTGAAAGACAAGAACGTTCACCGAATAAGGATAAAAATCTGTCCGCAACATGTCGTAAGCATATGCAGGAAATGAATGAGCAGAGCTGAATGATGAACATGTACGCAAAAAATACAATGAAATCGAATCAGGAATGCGTGCCAAAGTAAAGAGATCGCAGATATATATAATCGCTAAATAAAAGACCGTAATATGCGGGTCATAGATCACCAGTACAACGAGGCAGTTGTTAGCATCGGTTTGAAAGGTGAATACAATCTATGCGCCGATTACGAGCCTCGATGACAGAATTGGTACATGAGTATATGCACTTGCACAGGTCGCCGAGAAGTCTCTTCCAATCTGATTATCGTCTCGCATTTAACCCACTTCGTGTTCCATTTATTTTCCGTTGGAGCGAGGGGCGTAGACCAAAACAAGCACCAAAGCGGTAATCCCAATGGCCACGAACAAGACAATGCAACAAATGCAACGGCGTCGTCGAGAGCGTTGCTTCATGGGAAACAGAACAGCACGATAGTTGTTATACATATTGATTATGACTCAACAGTGAAAACCCGCTACTGATTGACACACAACAACTGAATGCCGTAATTGACTCTTTTTTATCTCGTTTTTATCATTGAATTATTTAAACAATCGTTTTATATTGTCAATCTTATTTACAACTGATAGTCAGCTGTCAATAAAAGATAAAAATGAGCAACCTAGAACAACAATTTGGTGACCCACAAAAAACTGAACTAGAGCAAAATTAGATTTTCCAAAACTGAGTGGAAATACCAGTGAAATCAACTTGCCGCTACGGCGTGCATAATAGAAAACAAGACATGGACAGGTGGCGAGCTTTGGTTGGATGAATCAATACAAATTAACGAATAAATGAAGATACTCACTCGGCTTGTTGCTGCCTTTGCCAAGGATGAAGTACCAGCTTCTTGGTTTATATAAGCAGCTTCAATATTATCTTCGATCGATTCAACTGCGGTCCGCTGGTCGTACACTAGACTCATAAGTTGCTCGAATATGATATTGACATTCACGATATCTTCCTGTAAGGGAAAGATATTGCCTACTCACAAAATATTCAGTAGACAGAAGTAAATGGTTAAATGTGACGAACCCTGCATGACCAGCCAACATGTAGATCTGCAGTAGTTAGAAAATATGGCAAGGTTGATTGAATCACATAAAGTCAATTACATAGAACCTAACGAGCCTTCAATCCTAAACCCACGCACTATAAAGCGTGATGAAGAGGCTCATCAGGATTTCAACTTACAAGAGCCTGAAATCTTCAGAGGCATAATATCTCAACAAAAAGCAACAATTTACGAGCGCAAAACACAAAACGTTATAGATTGGGATCACAAATATCCACTGGTGGGCTTAACCAATATTATCTGTAATGCAGAAGTACGGTACTTACACTATTAGATTAAAAACCGTGACAGCAAAACAATACCGTTTCATTCAGACTAATTTAAATGCAAATTGAGTTTCGCGGTATAAAGCCATATTATTAGATAGTTTTATCAATTGATCCTTTTTATAAACTAGACACGTGAACGAAGGAAAGTATGCAATAAAATATACCGCTAAGAATTCATAGTTGAAAAATAAGCCTACAAAACTAGATATGCTATCAATATTTAAACTTTACTACTTACTGAATTGTTAAAGAAGTTATTTGCGTGGCAAATAGAAGATTTTAAAGAGGGAATTCATCGTGTATAGAGCAAATGAAGTGTGAACTGAAAGGTTGGGGAGAACTGTACAGTTGTTTCAATCTGGTTGGGTCTTATCAACAATACGAATCCGTCGACGAATTCCCTCCTTGAAAAGAATCAAATCCTCCATGACTCTCTCATGTAAAGAGAGGATCCGTAAGCAATTCTACCATCACTTCCAATGCACTGAATCAACTTTCCATAGCATACACATTCGATCGCTAATTCACATGCTCACACTACCACGATACAGATGAAGAACCGGACCGTAACATTTACTATCACGTGTTGGATGTGTTCATGTGAAAATCATGTCAAAATCGGAATAACGATCCAGACAAATTGGAGTGGAGATGAAGTGTGTGGAATGGTACCGACTTTTCATCATTTCGATATGCGGCAGAGCTCGGATTATTTTCTGTGATGTGGGTAGTACATAACTGTTTGGATTCATATTTCTTGCAGATTCAAACATGATACGGGCATCTTTACATCACAAACACTGGAGACGTCACCTCTGCTGGTGACGAAACATCTGTAAACAAATTGTCAAGTTCGGTAACCAGACGAGAATCAATTAACCCTTGAGCAAAATTCTGACGAATCGCATGAGCTAAGGCAGGTGATTTTTGTGAAACGTTCAAAACCGAAAAGTTTGGCAAGGAAAACGGCATACAGTGTGAAGACTAGAGTTTACTCGGAGCTGTTATGTAACCAAATATCCATCAATCGTTTAGAGTCACATAAATATCTTACAAACCAATCGAGCCGTAACGTACTGAAGCAGGTTCGTAAACCTCTTTATGTAGTGTTTAAAATCCGAGTTCTGCAGTTCATCCAAATGCCAGTGTCACATCAACCCAGTTATACCCTCATATTGTGTTTTCTCAGCTCTTGACTTAGTGAAAACAGACTTGCCACAGGAGTAGGATTTCCCAACAGAGGCTTTAGAAGACGCACTCTTGGGGGAAAGGCAAGGACCGAACCTTGGCCGCTCAGGGTGAATCTGAGGCTTCACGAAATGATAGAACACGGATAAAAGCAAAAAGCAGTCCGAAGGGCTGAGGGTATAGGGATCGCGAGTACCAGATGAAAGAATAGTAGCAAGGTCATTCGTTAATTCTGTTAATTTTCAATATGAGGTGTATGAACGATCAGTTCTAAAAGAGAAATCGCCATAGAAATCGGAATAGAAGCCTCTGATTTTTACGTGAATTTGAACTGTCCGACAATGGGAGTCAAATCGAGCGAAAATATTAAATATTATTTTACTATGGGATAAAGACAACCAGGGGTAATAATTCATGGATTACTGAAGAAGACCACAATAAATAATAAACACAGTTCCCAGGTTTTGCTAGTTGTGGATCAGGTCTTGGGAGGAATCCCGATATGCAGAAAGGATCAGTGTGGTGTTGATCAGGAGTTGAATCCAAAACGATCATTGTAAATCACTTGGGTACTTCTTATTGGAAATCACATCAAACACGATAAGCAACTGGAGGTAGCCTAGAAATATCGTTCTTCTTTACAGTAGTTTGTCGTCCTGCATCGCAATGCTTACCTCAAGCGCTTGCATTTCTGCTTCTTGTTGCAAGGCAAGGCCCAACTGTTGTGCGTCGCCTTTCTGAGCTTGTGCATGGATTTGAGTAGCACCACTTTGAAACAGGAGGGCATTGTCCGATTGTCCTTGATCACCAAATTGAATGAGATCTCCAGCTGAGGATTCGGTAGCTTGGGTTTCAGTAATCAGGCGACGTTTGATCTCCTATAATCAGGGTTAGAAAAACCATCGAGAATATCTTTCGAATCATGCAGAAAAGTAAAACAATCTAAAACTTCGTAAACTTATTATGGGTACTGTTGTTGTGATTACCACCTGATTCGAGAGCAGAGGCTTCTTTTTGAACACTAGCATCTGTACTCAGTTATACAAGTATAGCGAAACATGGAAATAAGCATCGTCATCCAGGAGGAACAGATTAGATCATCATATCAGACAAAAGCGTGACGGACGAGGTCTGAACTTATGGCAGCCATTTGAGACTGCGAACCGGAAAGCTAGAAGACACAGACGTCAGACCAAATATTTGATTGCATCTAAAATGGAAACGGTGAGGCTAAACAAATTTCATTTTACAGGATCAACCGCTGGTTAATAGAGGACTTAGCTTGACACCACGAGGAGATACTACACTTGGAGGCAGAAAACCCTGTTAATCGTGGAAATTTTATGCACATCATTGAACAGATACCACCCAATGACCGATTCTAGACCCAAACTAATATACTGTTGGTGTGTGATATAAACCTTATCCCGATAGAGTCAAAGCTGTTGGTGTCCGTCACTCTCCGCCAATTGTACACTATGCGAGAACACCAGACCCACGAGGAGCAGGCTGGGTTTCCAGCCGGTCGCGAATGGATCGATCAAAATCTCCACCCTCCGACAGCTGCTAAAGTAACATCATGGCAACGAAAGACCGACAATTATTGTGTTCTTAGAGATCCGCGCGGTCTTCGACTCAGTCGATAGGACCGCACTATGGAACTGTTTGTTGAGGAATGGAGTGCCTGAGAAGTGTCTCGATCCTCAAAGAGTTGTATCGTCATACCTCGGAACGGGTTAGGGTCTATGACCAGCTTTCGCCACCCTTCACTGCCTCCAGTGGAGTTCGAAAACGCTGCCCTATATCCCCAATCCTCTCGAACTTTGTCATAGAGGATATTCTACAGAATGCTGTATCCGGTCTAGCAAACGGTGGAGTCGAACTCCTCCCATGCAGCAGAGTCTTAGAATACGCCGATGACATTGCCTTGCTGGGTGACAACACACAGGCAGTCCAAAACCTTTTAAACGCTTGGCAACCGAGGTATCCAGGTATGGTGTGTGCTTTGCGCCGTCCTAATGCAAAATGATTGTACAAGATTGGCAGGAGCCTGTGTCTGCATTCACACTCCGTGGCGATCAGCTGGAAGTGATTGAGAGCTTCAAGTACCTCGGGAGCTTAATCCCGGCTAATCAGATTGGGAAAGAGATCACATCACGAATAGCGAAAGCTAAAGCAGCTTTCGCCAGTCTGCGAAACCTATGGCACTGCCATGACATCCGACTGTCCCCCAAGAGAAAGGTGTATATTATCGCGGTTCGTAGTGTGCTACTTTACGGTTGCGAGACCTGGTTTCTCCGAGAAGAGGACGCTAATCGACTTTCCGTATTCAACTACCGATGCCATTGCTCGTGTCTGGTGGGAACATACGGTGAGCGATGAAGAAATTCGTAGTCGTGTGCTGGGTACTGATAGTATATATTATTATATTTTCACACACGTCTGAATCCAGACTGTGTGCCAAACAAATCATGGCACAGTAATCTTCATGAAAAAGAAAGACGTTCCATTATTTTCATGTGGGCCTAATACTGCCAGGCTGCCCAGACCAAGGCAGGTGAATTCTCTTGAGGAATCCACAACCGGAGAATTTGGTTAACCAAAGCCGGACCCGTAAGGCAGCGGGGTGGTGTGTGAAAACCGCAATCCACTGGGGGGCGGTGTCCAGTTCATTGAACCATTCACCCTTTGGACGGGGTTAAAAGTCCAAGGTCACCAATACATCTCGATGTTCAATCGAGCAGATGACCACTGCCACAACCAGGGAGGTGTGTATGGTTTATACGCCTCTTCTTGGTTGGTTTGGAATTAGGGTTTGTGGCCAACTCCCCTATGTGAACTACCAGTGGTCCACCAACTCGGTTATAGCTCCGAACATCGGCTTTTTGTCCTCTCACTTTGGTGGGAAAACACCTCCGCCACGAGAAGGCAGTGAGTAGGGCTTCCTCAGTAAAAGCTATAAGAGACGCTTGGTCGTATGGGCGCATTTCGCGAGGTGCTAGAGGAGAGTGACCAGCCGCATACCTAGACACCCACCCCCAACCACACTGAGGCTTTTTGATAGTCGTTCTCCAACGAAAGTAATCGCTCTACAATGCCCCTGATGGTTCAGTCAAGTTTTGCGTATACCTGCCCACCGTCTACCCCTCCGTGTTCTTTTTGCACTTGCTGGGCAAGGTTGGAAGAAGCGCCGTAGCGGTCAGACCATGACATGCCGTAGGAGTATGAAGAGGTTAGCCCCAGCACTGGCCTCGTTTGGTGCAGCTCACCTTCCATGCTGGGGCCCAAGGGAAGAGGATTGCTAATGGTTAGAGAAGCTGAGAGAAAGGGCTCCGAATAGGTAGCAGTGGTACGATTGCTGTGCGGTTTGCTTGTCGAATCCCCGTTCCCCGTAAGAGAAAAAACTCAAAAATTGCACGATTAAACTACAAAAAATCATTCATTTACTCATTTTTTCTCCCCGTTCTGTTTTCCCCATTTTCATTTCTTCTTTCTGTACCCCTTCCTATCATCACTATTATCGTTTTGCGCATACTAAGAGGAGTTACAGAACTAGGTCTGTCAAAAGCGCTTTGCGCATCCTCCATATATTCGAATAGGCAAACGGTGTCGTCAGCGTACTCTACATCGTGCAGCTTTTCTCCAGCTACCCATTCAATATGAACATTTTGGAGACCACTGAGTGCGTTCTACAGTATCTCCACTACGAAATTGAATAGGAATGGTGAAATAAAGCACCCTTGACGAAAAACGCCCGTGATTTCGAATGATTTGCTTAGCCCAGAAGTAAAAAAGAACAGTGGGCGAAATAGGTTTACATACTTCCGCGACATCCGTTCGCGAATCAGCAACCCCACAGTCAGCTGGATCCAAGGTTCATTTCAGGTCAAGGAAAACTGTGATTTTGACAAACTGATTAGTACTGACTATCCAACTATCCTACAACACTACTCACAAGTAATTGCGAGTTAAATGCGAACACTGTGAGTGTTGATCGACGATGTGTGCAGCGTAATTCGAAAATGTGATCCGTGGACACTCAACCTAGTCGGAATCTCGCTTGGTGTTCGCGGATATTTATTTCCCATAATGGAGTCAGGGGGTAAAGTATCACAAAAGTTAACAGTTTTGTGATGATCGGAACTAAACTTATACCACGGCGGGGTGTGTGACCGTTGCTTGATACCTTCTCCAAGAGGGACGAGTATAGACCAAGCAAACTTTAAAGTAACGAAGATGAAAAAGCAACCAACCGCTGGATGGTGGGCTAATGATTACAGGTTCGAAAGTAGAACTGCTTTA